CCCCCAAAACCCCAAAACCCCAAAACCCCAAAACCCCAAAACCCCAATATAGCTATCTCATATTGAGTTATATTCTATTTTTAGCAACCTTCACTTTTTCATAAATAATCTTTGAGACATGAAACTTATGCTCATGATGGTCATTAAAGTCAAAATCGGGTTCATCTATATATAACATATAAGCAATATGCAATCTTTATACGTGAGTTTTAATTTATAAGGCTCCTTGTGATTTGGCCTTTAACCTGCACTTTAGAAGTTTCAAGTGGTTTTATATAAAGAAGAGAAATCTTGCACTATGGCCAGAGGTCATTAGAGCATTGTAGTAGAGTAAAGGGTTAATGTAATTTCAAGTGAGGTATGGATTTGAACGTACCTGGGAAATTAGTACTCTCACGGTGGTAAATTTTAGGTGGAATTACGCCTGTAGTAGAGAGTCTTGGGCGAGTATAAAGCTTTGGATGGAAAATAGACACTAGAGAATCAGGGAGAAAGTACTTTCCGAGTTTTCTGATACTGATTTTTGAGATACCGATATTTCTGATTCAAAATTATTATTTCTCTATAAGGTATATTTAGATGGACTATAAAAGCTTTATTAAATAATTCCTGCCTTAAGACAAGAATGTATCAAAATCAATCATTTTCATATCCTATTCATCCCAACACTCAACAAGCCTTACTTGCATCCTCTTGGGTATACTTTCCCTTTGACATATCTCCCTTAGCTAAACATATCAAACAAACCCTCACATTCATATTTGATGGGATCTTCTTTTTGATTCTCTTTATCGCCTTCTTCACATTGATTTGACCCTTTTTCTGCTTGAAGCATAATTTATGAATGTTCAAGTACCCAGTCGTTACTACGTTTATTGCAATCATTGCTAGTATTAGAAATGCTCAGGCGAGTCCGATCCAGTGGTTAGTTCCAGATGAGGCTAATTCATCATCCGAGTTTGTAAATTTAAAGTACATAAGAATGATACAAGTCAAGAAAATTTCAAAGATAATATCTTGGAAATTCAAGATCGCGCTATTAAATGGTCGAGCGATAATCTTCCATAATACAACAATTGCACATGCAAACAGAAAAATACTTATTTGTTGAATCCCATGATTCCACCTCATAATCAGCACAAGTATAAGAGCGAGTCTCCTCCAAAGAAATATGAAGTGGTCTAGCATGTACACTTTGTTACTATGCTTAAAGTCTTCAAATAGCACTTTGAACCTTCCACTATCTTTATCGTAGTTCTTGGGCAACCAGCAGTACACCAATGGAATGCTGATCATCACCGAACTGAATATGATAATCCAGATAAACGACACTGCGTTAGAATAGTAATCAATGTAGTTATCCCACCTTATGTTGTAAATACTGTACAGACTTGCAAAGAAGATATCCAGAAACAGTTCAAAAGCAATTCTATAAACTGAGTTAAAGAAGAAGTCTTCTTGTATGACACTGATCCGTTTGCTGATGAAAGTCATGAGCTTGGTACAAATTTTTGCATCCTTTTTCAACTTGGCATTACTTGGCCATCATCGCTCGAATATTCAAGCAAGAAACATAATAAATATATTGTATAGAACCAATAAAATCAAAGCAAAGAACATGTCAGCTCAGTTTAAAAGCACATTGGTCGACTCTACATTCTGGTTTTCAAACCTGTAATCCCAAGATTCTCTGTCTTCAATTTGGGAGCTGTCAAAATGGAGTAAGAACAACTTCGAGAACATTTTATTTTCAAGGTTAACTACACCTAGGAAGCCAAACAGAGTAACCACAATTTTAGGAAAATACAAAGTCATCATTGCAGAATAATGGATGATTTGAAGAGTGTTGATGAGAATCCACATTGACGATAAACTCTGGCCTAATACCACTGCTATTACTAGTTGCAATGACATCCCTATAATTATAAGATAAATGGTTCTACCTGCATTTAATGATGCTGACACTGAATTACCAATTTTCTGAACTCCAGCTTCAGCTTCTACTTTGGATATTTTTCAGATAGAAGGTTGCCCAGTGCACTGATAATATTGCTCAGTTGAACACATTTCATTTCAACCATCACCTTTTACAACATTTGCATCATCACAAGTTTCTAACACTTCAGTGAGACCATCTCCTCAAAATGAACACTGACTCGGATAAGATGATCAAACCCATCCTCCTTCAACTTTACAGTTGCTGTCTCACCCATCATTGTCAACTGTGTTTCCATCGTCTCATTCTTCTGGTGAGTTATGCTCACCATTGCTTCAAATTAAGTTGCAGACACTTGGGTTAGATATTGGACATTCGTAGAGTGTTTCAACTTGACAAGTATCATCTCAGCCGTCTCCGTTGATAAGGTTGCCATCATCACATTGCTCTTCCGAGTCAATTCTCCCATTGCTTCAGATCAAGTTTCAAGAGCTTGGTACTCCTGAGCATTCCCATCCAGATTCTATTTGACATGTTGAATCGCAGCCATCACCTCCTGATAAGCCCCCATCATCACATTGCTCATCCGAATCTATACGAGAGTTACTTCAGATAAGGTTTCAAGCACTGGGAGCTCCAAAGCACTCCCACCCTGATTCTATTTGTCATGTTGCATCTCATCCATCACTCGAAGTCACTCCTCCATCGTCTCATCCTTCTCCTGAATCAATAACTGAATTACTTCAGATTAAGTTTCATGAGCTAGGTGTTCCGGAACATTCGTAACCTGACTCTATTTGGCAAGATGAGCTGCATCCATCTCCATCAATAAGGTTTCCATCATCACACTGTTCACCTGCATCAATAGCGCTATTGCTACAAAGAGTTCAAGTTGAAGGCCAACCATTACAGACATAAGGAGATTCTATATTACAGCTTGAGTCTCATCCATCTCCATTATTCGTATTTCCGTCATCTCATTGCTTTCCCGAACTATAACTTCCACTTCCTCAGCTAAAATTAATTCACTTTCACATTTGATTTAATGGAGACTTGGTTGTTTTTTCAGAATTTTTTATGCTCATAAAAATATCGATATAGTAAAATGTAAAGATCTAACCTATTCGGAGCACAAAAGTTGTATTTCAGATAACTCTTTAGAAATATTCGGAAGCTTAGAATTCTGACGATGCTGACGGAAACAACGAGAAATTTGAGAAGTTTATGCATATAAGTATATATTGAGGTTTAGTACTAAATCATAGTAAAGTTATTAAGGAATCATGATAAAAAATGATAACAACTGGAGCATGAAGGCTTCTATTTAATATGCCAAAAGAGTCTCTAAAATGGAAAACTTTGTGCCAGATATTCCTTTCTCATTATTTAGAACCCTCCATCAACCCTAATCCTTTTCCGTTTCCTACCTATCTGCACTTCTCGTTCATACCTATAAAGATTCCTATAAACGCTTACCGATATTTGTAAAACAGGAGCTGTTCAATCCCAGCCAGACTCAATCCTACAATTATATCAGCCATCTCCTGGACTCCCATTTCCATCATCTCATTCTTCTCCACAGCCAGGATCGTTCTCGCCATCTGGACACCAATGGGAGGGACAACTGGGAGTATTTCTGTGGATGGACGAAAGAGTTTTAAGAGGCGCAGGCTCTGATGAGAGATAGTTTGACAGATGAGTTGACGTTGGTTCGGAGAGATAGCAAAGTTGCAACAGAAGGAAAGCTAAATGTGAAGATTGGGACGAAGAGGGATTAGGAAGATATAAAGCCCAAAAGGTTTCTCGACTTACTCACAAAAACCGACTTTCGAGCGTACCCCATTATATATTTATTAACCTTTCCCAAATATTTTTACTCTTAAGGGGTTTTGGGGTTTTGGGGTTTTGGGG